CTAACATCCCTACCTCTATCCTGTTCGTTCTAATTATATTTATGTCATTCTCTTTTCCTTTATCTATATTTTTATCTTTATTCTCTATCGATAACAAAATCGGTAGTAACATCCATCAAAATATCGATACCTAAACCGATAAAAATATCGATAAAGATATCGATAACAAAATCGATAACAATATCAATATCAAATCGATAACAAAATCGATCAAAATATCGAAAAAAATTATTAATAAGAAAATCGAAAAAATATCGATACCAATATCGATAAAAATATCGATAAAATAAGCGCGTTTGGGACTGAAAAATTGAGTTTCGGGATGGGGGATCGGGGTTGAATATTTAGTCCTGTGCCCATCTCTACATCAAACATCGTAACAACTTTGGTTGCAACACAGCGCAATCGAAGAATCCATTCACAATATCACGTCCGTCGAATTTTCCCAAATGCCACAGAATTGTTGAAGAGTTAGACGTTGAAGTTAAAAAACCCAGGACATGCGGTAGCCATAGTCATCGAAACAATCAATCATCTCAAAGTTTCTTAAAGACGCAGTATTCCAAAGATGTCCTAAGCAGTTTCAATCTCAGTCTGTTGTTACCTAAACTCAATATCCACTTCGAAGAAGAAGATACCATTGAACTTATTAACTTCCTCATAAAACTTTTGAAAATTCAATCCGGTACTCAGATGCCATCGAGCCACTCACAAATTGTGACCAAGATATGTATATCCGAATATTAATACTAAACTTCGTACGCTTTGCACATTCCCAACTGGCACTGAAGGTTTTTCACTTCTTTGCGTCAAATCAAAAGTTGGCTCAGAAGAATGATGCTCCTCAATATAAATTACGGCATTGAAGTAAAGCTAGAATCATTTTCAGTGTCTATAATGAACGTTTATTTACATATCTATGTACTCTTAAATACCTACATAAATATGTATATACATCAAAAATAAAGTCTATGTTTCTTAAGACAATCATTAAATGAGATTGCTGAGATGCTTTGAAAGTTCTCCCATCAGCACCCCCCAAATTTCACTCCAAATCCGACCCTGTTTCCAATGCACTCGCAGTGTTTCCAAAATCAATAGGAGATGCCAGTTTTGTCCCTAATCCAGTCCAAGTAGCTGGTGACGCGCACAAATCCAGTCGGAGCACCATGCAGACAACCTCTTTTCGAAATAAATGAAGTAATACCAACAAGCACATCGCTCGATTCCAGAACCAACGGACCGCCTGAGTCCCCTTTGCAAGGAGAAGTGCCGCCAGGTGTAGATACACAAATGGTTTTATTAGACACAGTTTTGGAGCCAAAAGTGGAAGCGCACTTCGAATTAGGTATGATGACAAGACGGGCATAATTTAAATACGACGAGACGGAAGAATCTGAATAAAGCAATAAACTGACTCGTAACAAAATATATACGGGCACATGAACTCACAAACTTACCGTCGGTGGTGCGTCCCCAACCCGAAGCTATAGCATAGCTGCCGGTATAGTTAGAGTATGAGGAGACGTTAGAAGGCACCTTAATAGCTGATATCTCTCTAGAGTAGGACACAGTCGGAATCCGGATCAAGGAAATATCATTAACGAGGGTATCTTGATCATATCCAGAGTGTTGATAAATCGCACTCGAGTTGACAATGAAAGACATCCTGGCAGAGGTGCGTTGAATGCCACCCAAGTATACTCTGCCCTTGGTAACACTGCGGAACCAAAACACACAAGTATGATTAGGTATCACTTTATAAATAAATAAATTCCGGATTTGACCGTCAACTTACTTGACAGTGCAATGACTAGCAGTTAAAATCCACGTCGGAGCAATCAGCGAGCCACCGCACCAGTGGCTACTCCTGCCTCGAATCAGAGACAAACCAGCCTGGTATGGAAATTGACCAGCCTTTGCACGAGCACCATTTGTTATGCGTCCAGATAACAGAGGTGTAGGTGGCAAATCCTCAATAAAAGCCAGCGGCTCGGGCACACTGTAAGTCCAAACGGCAGCTAAGATACTCGTAAAAACCAAAGTGATAAGACCCTTCATTTCGTGCTGCTGTACTGGATGAGTCTGGTGTGATGACAATCAGACACTCGCAATGTTTGACAGCTCATCTCACCTCTATAGCCAAAAATTAAGTAAGAACTGATTTGACAATTATCAAATCTACGCACTTTTAAGATAAGCGCCTACAATGCCAACGATTTTCTGGGATTAAAAAAAAATTTCTTATCTACACTTCTTACAGGTCAATTCTGCGAGTAATATATACCGACACTCGTGCATATGTAACTGGAATTTTTTTATAAAAACAAGAGATTTAAATTTATCATTTTGTTTGTACTTATGACGTACTCGTATGTATATTTATCGTTAAAGAAGTATAATCAGCGAGTTGCCATAGGATTGGATATTGTGCGCAACAGGCATCGAACCTGGGGTGTTGTTATTGTAGCGGCTACAATAACCCCGCCCTGATCGGTTAGTCCCTCCATCATTGTTGTCAAGCTCTACTAGCGGAAGACCCAGTAATCGTACAGTCTCGTTCATAACGACAGAGGCGTTAGCAGGGTAGGGTTCAGTGGGCATGCGAAGAGATGCTTCGAGTCATGAGTCTCCACATGACGGGCATCCATTTGGCACATCTGCATTTATTCTGCTCAGGTATGAGTTCAACCTGCTGCAGTAGCCAGTAGAGTCTCCCTAGGCAGGCGAAGCTCTGCCTCGTCCATGTCTGGTGGTTGCGTAGCCAGAACGGAATTCACAGGTCGAGAGTCTATATAACTCGAGACTGACTCTCTGTGAATGCCGTTCAAAGCCTGACGATAAGCTGTTGGACGGGCGACCAGACATGCGCTGCATAGTTCAGAACCGGCCGGCCAGTTGCCTTGTACGTTGCCAACAATGTTTCTTCGTCTTTGCCGCAGGTGCTGCCCGCTAACGGCTTGAGGACCTTGTTGCGGCTTTGTACTTTATTGACGATTGCGGTTACTCCGAGGATCTTCGGGTTATTCACCGTCGGAATGGGTTTGTCATCGACGTGAATACACAGTTGTAGCCTCACCTCCTTTCTCCAAGTGGTTAAAAGCGTTGCTGAGGACTTTGTAGGGGAGAGGTTTAGGCTCCATGCAGTGAAGAAGCGAGAAATCTCGGCGATATAAAGGTTTGCTTTCGAGAACAAGTCATCAATTCAATTCCCAGACGCCATTATCCAGCAATTGTCAGCATAAGAGACAATCCAGACTCCCTCTGGTGGTTGAGGGAGCTTAGAAATATACAAGTTAAAGAGTAGTGGGGAAGGGACTACCTAGTTATCCGCTTGAAAGCTATTAACGAAGTTGACAATAGAGAAACTCTCGTTATCTCAGAGAATGACTCTGACCTATACAAAAGTCTATTAAAGGCTAACGAGCGTAGACTGCAGTGAAATTATTCTCACTTTTCCCGTAGACTTAAATCCGCAGTTTGTATAGTCTAGATATAATATTTATCTTCTCAAAATTATTTTATTTGAATAAATTTGCATTTTTAACACAGATTGTTTCCACAATTAATAGGAAATACCAGTTTTGCCCTTAATCCAGTCCAAATAGCTGGTTACACGTACGAATCCGGCTGGAGCACCTGAGGCGCAACCTTTAGACGATACGAATGAAGTTACACCGACCAGCACATTACCCGATTCTAGGGCTAACGGACCGCCAGAGTCACCCTGACAGGTAGAAACGCCGCCAGGAGTAGCTACACAAATCGTATTACCAGTCACAACCTTGGAGCCATAGGTTGAAGAGCAGACCGAATTAGCTATAACGGGGAGGCGGGCATAATTTAAATAACTTGAAGTAGAGGATGCTGGAAGAAATTAAAAGTTAGTATAACAAAGAACATACCTATGTATGTAGAAATGAAATTTAAAATTTTTAAAATTTACAACTTACAATCACTGGTGCGTCCCCAACCCGAAGCAATGGCATAGCTGCCAACATAATTTGAGTATGAGGAAGAGATCGAAGGCAATTTAATAGCTGAAATTTCGCTGGTATAGGAAACAGCTGGAATCTTGATTAGCGAAATATCATTGGCCAGAGTATTTTCATTATATCCAGTGTGTTGGTGTATAGAGCTCGAGGTTACGGTGTACGAGACCTTGGCCGAAGTGCGCACAGTACCGCCCAGGTAAACTTTGACCCTAGTAACGCTGCACAATTGAACGTATGTATGTAGATGTGTTTCATTAATTTGCAAATATTAAATTGCTTGTCTATGTGCTTACCCGTTAGTGCAGTGAGCCGCAGTTAAGACCCATGTGGAACCAATCAGAGAACCACCGCACCAGTAGGTTCCTGTGCTACGGGTTAGTGACAAACCCGTCTGGTAGGGAAATTGGCCTGCAGATGCCCGAATACCATTAGTTATGCGTCCCGATAAGACTGGAGATGGCGGCAAATCCTCAATAAAAGCCGGTTGATCGGTAACGGTGTAGGCCGAAGCGATAGCCAAGGCTAGAACTAAAGTGATGAGCACCTTCATCATGTTTGTTTACTCTTTTGCTGCAGTGTCTTGTGCGAACAACTGTTACTAACTTTTGGGCGGTGGTCATATTTATAGGTAAAACTAAAGTTAAAAGGTGTGCGATAAATCAAATTTTTAGTTATAAAATCAAAGATTAGTGGTGCGAATGCGATCGACTCGAAAGGGTTTGTAAATTTAATTTATCAGCAACTGGGAATTCACGGACTCAAGGGTTCTTAATGTGTCCGTATATCTTTAACGATTATTTATTATGGACAATAGTATACTATTAATGTAAAGTGATTTTACTATACTACATGCGTTTTGAATTGATTTTTATTAGCATGCAATATTGCATATGACGATTAGTTTCGCGTTTGGGTAGACTGCGACAAAACTGTTGGTCTAAAAGTACTTATCAGTTGGGTTTATCAAGCAACACTAGACACTTCATACCCAATGGCGAAACCCAACTGCCGGGAATTTTGACAAATATTGCACATGTGCTTGTGGTTTGATTAATTTGTTTTTTTTTTTTTTGATAAGGTATTAGAATTTCGGTATTCAAAGTCCTTTAGTGTCAAAGGCAACCGTTCTCAGCAAAACTAGTTAAGACGAAAATTATTATTTTTTTTTATACGCCCCAATATGTTCTCAGATGGCGCACTACGAGCGTAGCGTAGGCTTCGGAGAATTTCCTTGTATGTTGCCACCCAACATTGTACAACATGTACATTGTTGACCACTGCGGTTGTGTGCGCGGAAAAGGAGCGCAGGGTATCAAAGTTATATGTCACAATCACATGACTGTAAGTATAGCTAGCGGACCAAATGCTAGCAAATGATACCAGTTACGAGTGAAATGAGAGAATTATCCCAAAAAAAGTATGTGCATTTGCGAATCAAAACCTTTATCTAAATTTGAGCTAGGCGATGAAATTATGCATGTGATTAAGTGCATCTACGATTACGATTACTTTAATCCCAGTTTCAAAATAGTTTGAATTAGGATTGAAATAATCGTAAATCGAAGGAGTATTAGATTAAAATTGTATTTAAAAAAAATTAATAGCACATGAAATTACCTTTTCAACTTATATATGTGAATTTTACTCATCTCTCAGCTAAAATCACTAGACATAAGAATTTGAATGTAGGGAAAACACAAATTTTTCAGATAATTTTGAATTCGGCAACCTTAAGTTTACATTAAAAAATGTTAAACTCCGCTCCCTTCTTGCCAACTCTTTATATAGTACCTTAGTACAGTATCACGCACTCATGGGTGATCAAAGCACTTGTGGTATTACATGAAATATAATCTTTGAAATTTTAATAAAGAATAATACCTTGTTTATACCGACACATAAAGCGTTTTGACCCAGTGTGATTCAAAGCGCTTGGAAGAAATATGTGTCAAGTCAAATCGGATTTTTCTTAATGCGGTTTTTGCGTACGTATAATTACGATGAGAGGAAATGGTTTTATGGGTTTTGTGGATAAAAAAAAACTTGTTGAACTATTCTAGGGGGCTTAGGTATAATACCCTCTAAATTCTATAATAACACACTTTTCACTTGAAATGTAAAAAAAAATATTGTAAATTACTTCTTGTTGCAGATGGGAAAAATGTAGAAGAAATTGATGACCAAGTCTTGATTTGCGAATGTCGAATAAACCGGTTTGTTTATTTCGTACAATTCTTGACCTCTCAATAAAAGTTTTGAGTTTTTCGAAAAGCTTTTCAGTTTAAGGGAAACCGCTATATAGTTTTAAAATTATATCCTATGTTATTTGGGGATGAACAAAATATCATATGGGTGTTAGCATCGGAAGGTTTACCGCAACAAAAAAATAATAATAAAAGTCATATATCTAATGTATTTATGGGCCAATATGTCTGCTTTCTGAAGTATGCACCGGCTATGTAAGTAGAAACATTCTTGCGTAAAATGGTCTTGCTGGGTAGCGCCAGGGTCGAGATATTTTGAAAACGCTTATTTATGGTACTATTTGGTTCGAATTCGGAGTACGTAGTTGAAACATAATAAATCATAGATTTCCAAAAAATGTATCCAGAATTGGCGTTGAAGTCAAAATATAAAGTATATTCGACATAAAATGCTTGTTTTGTTTGCGTTAAAAATTAATTTAAAGGCATTTTAACAAAAATATAATGATGGAAATTTATACCACGTCACGCCACACATCACAATAATGAGATTTTTGATGCTCTATTTTATATTTTTTCAAAGATTTGTTTAAGAAACACTTGAATAGGTAACTGCTCCAAAACTTTACCGCCATAGACTTATGAGGTATCAGTGGAAATATGTTGTCTCCCCTTTTTAGCTATTTGCAGAAAATACTCATTCACGCCCCAATTTTTGCTTTATCAAATACTAACACATCTTAATTCAACATGGAATGACACTCGCCTTACCTTCCTAACCCCCTTACCTTTCCAATGATACCTCATAAGTCTTAATTGGTAAAGTTTTGGCTGAGTTATAAAAGTTTTTCTTAAACTAGCCTTTGAAAAAAGTTCAAAAACAGCATCAAAAATCTTATTATTTGATTTTTTTTTCTTAATTTTTTTATGCAAATTTGTTAAGCTTAACCTGTTTTGTCATCTAAGGTGATTTTTTCAAAAACACTTTAAAAACTGTTTTTATTAATAAAAAAAACTAAATGTTTGGAGGTATTTTGAAATCGGTCCAGCTCACGTAAATCTTAATATTTTTCCGAGATATTAAAAATCAATATTTTTTGACCGGAAAACTGTGGTTCTCTTCAGGAGACTTCCAGTATTAATATCCAATTGTTTATTTAACCATATTTTATGATTAAAGATTTTTTATTGGTCCCCCCCATTGCATTTTCTAAGGGCTGTGGAGGACCTATAAAATATAGTTACCATGAAAAAATTGTTAAAGAAACAATTGAGTATTATTACTGGGAATCTCCTTAAGATAAGTAAAGTTTTCCGATCGAAAAATATTGATTTTCAAGAATTCTACACTATTTTTACGAAAAGATGTTTTTTTCTCCATATAAAATACATGGAAAACTTTGAGCGCTTTGAGCACTACTTAAATTATTTTTTATTTCAAAATAAAAAAATATGGGTCTATTTTTTTCGGTATATAACAATCCTAGGGGGTGGCGGCATTAAAAATCCGACCTTACTTTTTTTACATACATTTTTGGACGACTTTAATGTACATATGTATGTGCATAATGTAAAAGTATGTTCTTACTTACCAAATCCACTCGTACCTGCATTTTTTTATTACTTGATTGCTTGGTTTCTGGTATTTAACAACTTACTCATATTATTCCACTAGCCGAATGACAAGGTGTTAGAATTATATGAAATTCTCCAATGAAAACCGAGCATCAAATTATCAATATTATGTGCTGGCTTTCGCGTTGGGTAGTAGTATGGATATGTATTAAAATGACCACATAAATATGTACGTATAAACGTATGTACTTATATATGCGCAAACATTTACATGTACGTGTACATACATACGTATATAGATATGCACGTTACCTACCGAACCCTCGCGACACGACCACAAGATGGCTTCCCATTTCTTCGTGGCGAACACACGAAAATCACTTTTTCACGCAATTTCTTAGTTGCATGGAAATAGAATCGCACTATATATATTTTTTATTACTACTTGCACTTTTAATGCTGCAATGCACATTCGAATACAAATTAATTAAATTATTTTAACACTTTTGCACAATATTATCCCGCTTATCGGATTGAACTCGCGCACCATACGAACTTAAATATATCCGAGGCAAAAGTCTACTGAATACTGAAAATTTGAAATTTGCAATTTCCAAATATTTATTTTTCCAGGTCCTCATTTGGAAAGAGTTAGGATAGGTTACTCACTCGAAAACTCTCAATTTGCAAATTTGGAAATTGATTTTTCATTGATGAAGAGTGCACGGGAAACGGAAATGAACTCTGACTCATAGAGAGGTGGAGAGCATATTCAATTTATTTCCATTTCCTTAGTGCCCTCTTCCATTTTTTTATCTCATGAATCATGAGTCATGATACAAAACTTTAAGCGGAAACACGTGATTGCTTGCTCTCACATTTCAAGCACAAAATCACTTCCGTTTCTCTCATATGTTATCTGCTGCTTAAAATATTAAGGTTAAAAGTACATCCATGCAAATTAATTTAATAAAAGAGTCTTCAATTTATTTTCAGTATTCAGTGGACATTTGCAGTGGAAGTTAGTTTGGTTAATCTGTGGTTGTGAAAGTCACTTTAAATAAATTTAGTGTAAAAGAAATATACTAATTTTATTCCAAAATATATTACAAGTGTATTTTTATAAATAAGTACAATTTGCTTAAAAATTATAGTTGCATATAGCTATTTAAAAGCTATTAACGAATGAAGTGAAAAAGTGAAAATAGTAAATTATTGCGTGATCGGGTCGCGTCGGTTCGGTATATTTATGTATACGAGTGTGCATACAAATGAATTGCATTTGTTGTATAGTTATGTATGAATGTATGTACATTAGTGTGGTCCAAAAACAGTAAATTCGGAATTGTAATGCTCTCACCCGCTAGGATTGTTCTATATGGAAAAAAGTATTCCCCTATTTTTTATTTTGAAATCATAAAATGGCAAGGATAATAATATGAATTTACTTTACTTTTATTTCTGAACATTTTATTGCCTGTTACGGTTTTCACTCCATAAGCAATTATCCAAAATTCTTTAGAGTCGGATGGAATGGTTCTGAGAAAAGTTATTCCATGGGAAAGTTAAAAGATTTAAATATTCAGTTTCCGCTGCTTTTATTTCCTTCAAAGTCAAAAAGTGAATTGGCAGGTCCCTGAAACTTTCCCTCTTGTGATTCACACACTTTTCTGGTGACAAAATCAAAGCTTTTTTAAAAGTATTTAATTGACTAGGTAATCGTTTCAAAAGTTCTTCGATTAGGGTGATTAAACATTTTTGACAGTCTTTTAATATGCTTCTTAAGTCAAGTTTATCACGCAGTTCATTAGCCTCTTCTGTAGAACTATCGTGGAAAACTAAGTTTTGTATATTTTTATAATTGGAAAAAAATATATTTGAAAACAAAAATCGCCAATAGCGATTTCACGAAATTTTTACGCGCAAATAATCAAAAAAAATCGCCAAATTGGCGCTAAATCACCAAATCTGGACACTCTGTCTTCAACTTACATTTTTTTAAATCATTAGGAAATTAGCGAAGCAAAAAAGAAATTTTTTTACACCTAATTGCTCACAAAAACAGTTCAATCCCCGCTTCCGAATGTAAACTGAAACTCCCCACAAAAAACGGTCCATTCCCCGATTCTCCATGCAAACTGAAATACCCCGCAAATCGGGGAATTCCCCACAAGTTCGCTTCCCTGGCTATTATACACTTTTCCATTAAAAATTTGCAGGTTCCAGTACAAATTAGTACTGACTTTTTGTTACTATACACATCTGTTCTTGGTGGCTCACTCTTCTTGTCTGTACTTTAAGCGGAAATACAAACGCCTACATACTCTCCACCTCTCTATCATCATTCAGAGTTCATTTCCGTTTCCCATGCACTGTTCATCCGCTCTTGAAATGCTTTTTTTGCTGCGCAATCGGTTAGAGCATAATCAATTTCCAAATTTGTGAATTGGGAGTTTTCGAGTGAGTAACCTATCTTTATTCAAACTCTTTCCAAAGGAGGACCTGGAAAAATAAATACTTGGGAAATTGCAAATTAGCTGTGATGAACTGAGAGTGTAGGTTAATTTTCAGTATTCAGTAGACTTTTGCCTCGGATATATTTAAGTTCGTATGGTGCGCGAGTTCAATCCGATAAGCAGTAAAATATTGTGCAAAAGTGTTAAAATAATTTATTTAATTTGTATTCAAAAGTGCAAGTAGTAACAAAAAATATAAATAGTGCGATTTTATTTCATTGCTGCTAAGAAATTGCGTGAAAAAGTGAAATTCGTGTGTTCGCCACGAAGAAATGGGAAGCCGTCTTGTGGTCGTGTCGCGTGGGTTCGGTAGGTAACGTGCATATCTATATACGTATGTATGTACACGTGCATGTAAATGTTTGCGCATACATAAGTACATACGTTTATATGTACATATTTATGTGGTCATTTTAATACATATCCATACTACTACCCAACGCGAAAGCCAGCACATAATATTGATAATTTGATTCTCGGTTTTCATTAGAGAATTTCATATATTTCTAACACCTTGTCATTCGGCTAGTGGAATAATATGAGTAATAAAAAAATGCAGGGACGAGTGCCTTTGGTAAGTAAGAACATACTTTTACATTACGCACAAATGTATGTACATATTTATAAATGTAACTGTGAAAGCACATACTTGTACATGTATATGTATCAGCACAGACATACATATTTGCGCGAATAAATAAATGAATAAAATTAAAATAAATTAAAATAAAAAAATAAATAATATAGAGTTAAATAAAATTGAAAAGTAAAGTTATATATAAATAATTGTTAAACAAGCAAGTGCTTTTTAAGCAAGAACAACAACCGACTTCAATGCTGATATAAAAAATGTGGATTAGTTTTAGTTTTTTTACGGTCCAATGATTGGAACTAGGGTGTTCGATTATTCGCCTTTTTTCCGAAACCGGTTTTCGAGTTATTCGAAAAGTTGCAATTTGAAAAAATCGGTTCCCGATTTTTAAATTAAGGAAAAACCGGCTTATTTTACAAAGTTTTCTTGCGGTGAAAATGCTTATGTTCTGTTTGAAGTCATCACTAAAAATTACAATAAAACTATTAACAGTAAAGATAACTTTTATTTGAAAAAAGAGCAAAGCAAAATAAGTTCAAAGTTTTTTCCAGATCAAACTTAACTTTTTTTCATAACTTATTGCATTTTTTTTTTTTGAACTTTTTTTAAATAATATGATTTGGAGTAAATCTAGTTGTTTTTAGAGTTTTTTGAATTACTGCAGCTTGTTTAAATTTTCTTTTACAACCCCAAGTGTGAAATGTTACGTGACGTGGCGTGACGTGACATAAATTTCCATCGTTATATTTTTGTTAGTACTTATTGCTTTTAAATGAATTTTTAACGCAAACAAAACAAGCATTTTATGTCGAATATGCTTTATATTTTGACTTCAGCGCCAATTCTAGGTAAATTTTTTTGGAAATCTATGATTTATTATGTTTCAACGTTTTACTACGTTACAACGTTTACGTACTCAAATTCGAACCAAATCGGACCATAAATAGGGGTTTTCCAAATATCTCGACCCTGGCGCCACCCAGCAAGATCATTTTACACAAGAATGCTTTTACTAACATAGCCAGTGTATATTTAAGAAAGCAGACAAATTGGCCCATAAATGCATTAGATATACATATGACTTTTATTATTATTTTTTTTTTGTTGAGGTAGATATGCAATTTTGTTCATCCCCAAATAACATAGGATATAATTTTAAAACTATATAGCGGTTTCCCTTAAACTGGAAAAAGGCTTCCGAAAAACTAAAAACTTTTATTGAGAGGTCAAGAATTGTACGAAACGAAAAAAACCCGGTTTATTCGATAATCGCAAAATCAAGACTTGGTCGTCAATTTCTTCTACATTTTTCCCATTTGCAACAAGAAGTAATTTACAATATTTTTTTTTACATTTTAAGTGAAAAGTGTGTTATTATAGAATTGACAAGGTATTATACCTGAGTCCCCTAGAATAGTCCCAACAAGTTTTTTTTTATCCAGAAAACACAAAAACCATTTCCTCATCGTGGATCACAAAATTTATACCTTGTTTATACCTACGCAAGAACAACATTAAGAAAAACCAATTTGATTTAACACATATTTCTTTCAAACGTTTATACCTGTGTCTTTACAGCGCACTCGCTTAAACCGTATTCAAAAGTATACTAAATTTGTTGTTTTATTTTGATATTTCTTTAATAATCGATTTGCGCTGTTGACCGAAATGGAAGCGAACAATAACTCAAATTTATTTTAATAATAATTCAAATTCAAAACGGGTTGTATAAAAAAAAACAGCCTATTTTCACTTCGCGTAGAATGAGTGATATGTTCGTACCTGTTTTCTAACCGAAACAAGGCCCTGAGGTCGCTCCCCGCAGAACCATAGGCAAAGGACAAAGAAATGCTGCTGGCAACACACAAGGCAATCGGCCGGCCGGTTCTAAACTATTCTGCGCCTGTTTGGTCGCCGGGGACTAGTTGGGCGCAGTGGACGAAGCTACAGACTTGTCAGAACTCCACACTCCGGACAGCAATAAGGCGCCTTCTGATATGCCTGAGCACCACCTGCACAGCGAGGCCCAAATGCTTCCCGTAAGGGAGCACAACAAAATGCTCTGCATGCAGTTTCTGACGTGAACACCCCAACAGACCCTCGTTAGAGGAGGGGCCTCCGACAAGGCACGTCAGGGCACGGTCCAGACTTACATCGACCCACCATTGGACCCGACGACGTACCGACGAGAGTAAACGAAGATGTGCACAACCAGTGTCCGGCATGCGGAGAGTCGCCACATTACTCATGCCACCTCTTCGCATGCTCCCAAAACCCAACCCAGCTAACGCCCCTGTCTCTTTGGACAGCCCCTGTCAAAGTTGCGCACTTCCTGGGCCTCCCCCTAGCTGAACCAGACTACAACGCAGATGCGTGAACCGATCTACGGCATTCATAGTGAGTCGGTCACCACTTACCACGACTCCCGGCCCATGAATGCCCTGATCGGATCCCAATCACCACCCTAGTAAGAAATGGAGCTTCAGAAAATTTGTTTATAATTTTCACATAACTCTAAAATTTCAACTCAATTTTTATACGAAATATAAAAATTAATCAATAAATTTTTAACAAGGTACATCATAAATTTCAAAAGTCCGAATATTAATATCTGCTAAAGTATTATGCAATGGAAAAATAATTTGGACAATTTTTTGCATAAATCAATCTGTAGGTATTTTCTCAAATTAATGAAAATATTTTTTTTGTTCATGATTATATTCTCTAACTAGAAAACTAATGTTATACTGGTTTTTGCATCAATTGCGTTGAATCTGACCTATCCACTAGCACTTATATTTCCCGAACTAATTTTTGAGTTGTGCCTCTTTTGATGACGGTGTGCGATATGTATACCCAATAAAAACATGAATTGGAAAATCTACCACACCTTATTCAAATCTACAAAAATGTTTGCCGATTCTACCACACTAAAATAAGACTCTGCACACTGGTCGAAATAGAGATCTGGCAGCTTCGTTTGAATAGTTACAGTGCACATCAAACTGTCGCTGCTTTGACATGTTAAAAGTGACAACTCTTTAAACGAATTTGTTTGACAGCTTCAATTTTCTTGTAAACAGAATAGTAGAGCTGTCAAACTATCGATAGTCAAGTCCATCGATGTTTTACGATAGTCTTAAGGGTGACTATCGATACTATCGATAGTATCGACCCATTTCAAAGGTTTTTCTAAATCCATTTATTTTTCGTTATCTTGCTTTTATAAATTTGTTTATTTTAGCGGTTCACGGTTGCATTTAAATATCGAGAAATATTGCTATAAATTCATTCGTGTAAACAGTCAAAAAGCGATTTCAGAAATTCTCGCTACAATTCGCCTTTCAGGGAAAAAAAAATCTTTCGAAAGACACTTTACATGCAAGGTGCCACTGCTCATGCAACAGCTTTCTGCAATTTCTCAATTTGACAGTCTTTTGAAATATACTGCATTGCTCGGTCTAAGACGGCAATATAACCTCTGCTATTTCCACGCTTAAAATAAAAAATAGCGCTTTTAGAAATAATGCCATGAACCACTTAACAGATCACCCAGCACGGCAACCGCGTATTTGTAATTGCATTTGAGAAAGAAAATAATAGTTGGTAACGTCATTTTTTATTAGGTTGTTTCATTCACACAGATTGTTTCATTCCGTTTCATTCACATGGCGGCGAAAAAATTACGCACTGCACAAAAAAAATAAAAATATTTTTTCTCGCACACCGTCCTGGGTGATCTTTATTCGTTCGTTCATGAAATAATGCTGCCAATTTTTGTTCTCTTTGAGCCATGAAAGAGAATACGCTATCAATGAAACGATAGTGGCGATAGTATTAAAACTATCGATAGTTATTTCAAGTGATCAGACTATCGATACTATCGATAGTATCGGCGATAGTTTGACAGCTCTACAGAATAGCTCTATATGTGTTTTTAGAAAATTATGGAACGTATTGTTTCTGGTATAGCAAAAATTAATTTTCAGCAAAATTGCGAAGATATTTTGGTGGAAAATCGGTAAGTAACTTTTGAAAGAAATGTAGTCGTATGTACATAAATTAGATTTGATGTCGTCCATAATTTGTAGCAAGGAAAACATGGCCGCTCGGGCATATGAAATATCTGAGGCAGGTAATGCGCTAAACGATACCACTAAATCCAATGAAAGCACAGCAGATAGTAGTGATTTTGAATCGGAATTCAATAGTTCTAGCGAAACTGCCATTGTAGGCGATGATGATGCAGATAGCTGTTGCAGTTCCAGCGCTGCTGGAGGGAGTCTTTCACAGCGTCGCAATTTACCGCGCCGTGCTTGCAAGGAGAACAGCTTAAAACTAAAGCGCCGGTCCATAATGAAACCAAAACGTCACACATCCAGATCTTGTGATTTCTCTATGCTCCGTCCGGCTCAGATCAAAAAAATTTACTGCAATCAAAAACTAACTAGTTTTCACCCCGCCAAATTGGAGACAATTTTCGAAGAGCCGCAAGCAGAACCTCGCCGTGGCGAAGCTGCGCCAGCGTCCAGCACAGGTTTGCGTTTTATTGGCCTGAGAAAAATACGTCGTTCACTCTCTTGTTCCGATGGTCTAAATACAACTAAGACGTTGATAAAACAAAGACGTGCCAAAATTAGGAAAATTTTCGGAAAAACACACCTACACAAGAAGATAGCATTAAATGACTTCATTGATAAGTTGAACAGGAGTTTCGCTGATGATGCGGACGTGGAAGATGCCACTATAGATGCTGATGAAAGCAGTACACTGGAAGAGGCAATGGAAGCAGAGATGTCTGCAACAGCTCTTACGGTTCCAGTAACTGAGAACCTACATAATAGTACAATGTATGAAAATTCAACATCATTAACAAAGACTGATTTCGAAATGCATTTAGAAACGGATGTGGGAAACGTGCACGAATTTAATAAGAAAAATGAGGGTGATTCACTATATTTAGGTTCAAATAAATTTGGTACATTATCTTATTCGTCAGATACGGCAGAAATTGGTTTGGGTGCTGCAACAGTAAAAGCAAATTGCTTGGAAGGCATACGTTAGTGATAAGATATATATATGTACATATTAATACGTGTGATCTATATATTAATTCTGTGGAGGGTAATTTGAACCATTCCAGCACTAAAAGATCACTGCGCGTACAAGATTTATTTTTTAACTACATGATTCTTTTATATAACTTCGTGGCACTATTAGTTTTAAATATCTATTCATATATGTACATTTTGTGGCACTATTAGTTTTTAATATATGTATATTTATGTTTGTAGGTATTAAAAAGCCGATTATGTATATCAACGCAACCTCAGTTGAGTTGTATTTTAAATATAAACTATTGTCAAGTGCTATAAAATTATAGATAATAGTAATATGAGGAACAAGCCATTCTGAAATGAGTGCGAACGATGTGCAGAAATAGCAGGAGAAGTATTAATTTCCACAATAACTACAAAATTCAGTTGCCTCCCGTTATATGATTTCGGCCACTAGAACTCAACTGAAGTTTCTCATGCATAATTGGTCCATAAATTTCACATTCCCCTCATTGCTTTCAACAATTTTTGTACCATTTAAATTTTAAGATTTTGAAAATGATTATTGATAGGTATTTGTGCCTGAATATATGTATGTAATAATGTCCGGTAAAATTATAGATACTCTGTTTAAAAAAAATCGAATTTGTTTTTACGATAGAGCATATACAATAATTTCACAAACCCCAACAACTCTTAGCCATACGGATCTAAAATTTCATGAATTGCTTATAATATTTTCTAGTGGACACAAAAATCATAAATAAATCCACTCAAGCGTTTTATACGCTATTTTATATATGTATGTAAAAATGTGCAAGCATAAAATGTCTTTTTGTGTTTCAGGGGAACCAAAGGGAGGAGGTGTCGCTCGATGGTTATCATAATGTGGAAAACCTACAGATTCCCGACATTCGTTAGGATAAGGGTGACTTTAACATCCGAAATTTTGCAGACTGATTCCATTAGAGCAATAATAAAGTAACTGATGCTCTTGCTCTGAAATACGTGGTGGTTGAACTTCGATAACGGCATCTATGGGCGAAAGTTCGTGAAGATGGTAATCATGGCTATCACAAAATCTATCGTAGTCCGATTTTCTGTGAAATCTACGAAAATGCTATCACATTTTCCATGTATTTTCAGTTGAGATAGGGCGTTCTTCAACCAAATTCTGAGATAGGGTTTTTTCAAACAAAATTCTGAAATAGGGCGTTCTTTAATCAAATAATGAGCTAAGGCGTTCTTGAAAAGTTTTCTGAGATAGAGCGTTTTCAGAGTGGCTGCCGAGATAGATTGATCTTCCACTCAAATGAAAGGTTTTTATACATACCAAATAAGACTAAAAGGACTACTTCAGAAAAATTACCAATTCAACTACCTCCCCTAGCTTCCTTCGAAGGGATTTTTGCCCTAGACACGCCCTAATAGCAGTATAAATTGTGTTTTCTTAATAACTATATTCATTATAACCAAATTGAAGGCACAAAATCCTAACTTGTAAAATTTTAGTTTTAACAGTAACTACCCAGTAGATAATTTCTGGAGTTAAAAGCCCTTCCGAAAGGCCTTCCTGAGAGTCAAGAGGCCTCCCTCTCCACATTCCTTTCTCCTTTCTTTTTTGTATGGAGTGGCACAAATTGAAGGGCTTCTTCTTTTACTACCCATGGAAGGCCTTTCAGAAGCTCTTTTATAGAACGTACTTCAGAAGGCCTTTTGGAGGTGTTCTTTTAAAGGTGTTCCTTTAATTTATAAAAATCATACATCTTTGAAGTATTTGCTTAACCCAGTAGAACTTGGGAGCATCGTACGATTGCTCGGTGAGTACTCCTTGGGAGTATACGAATACTCCCCATTGCTCCCTATGCTTCTGTGTATAAGCATGTAATTTTGTATACTCCCTTTAACATTGGATGTCCTAGGAGGGGGAGTAATCCCTTTTACCTCCTAAACGAGCAATCGGGGAGCACACAGAATTATTATCCCACAAACCTTCTAATGGAGCAATACGGGAGTACTCCCATAGTTACCTCCCAGAAATCTCCCAAAAAGACAACAAGGGAGTGCACATAGAAAACATCCCATATACCTCCCGAACGAACAATAAGGGAGTGCTCCCATTAGAGGCATTCCGAAAGCCTCCTATAGGAGTAATAAGAGAGCAATGATAACGAACATTTTAAATTAGCCAAATAGATTTTGCTATTTATTAAATGTTTTATTTAACTTTTTAATCACGTGCATTTGTGCTAATTTTACAAGACCGTAACAGATATAAGTACGAGATCAGATAAAACATAAATTATACGTCTTACATAATTGCTTAATTTTAGAATTACATATATTGCAGAGAAATCATATGAAAGTAAAACGTAATAATAACAAAACGGTAAGATAAGATATTCACATATAAGTATGTACTCGTATATGATTTCCTGGTTGTCAAGGATGCTTGCCTGGTCAGGAATCCACCAAGCGGGGAAATTGTGAAGGTGACTTTGCTTATCTGACATGTTTGTCACCCACGCGATGTTTAAACCCGGGGGTCACACTTAAATGCAAACACTAATTTGCGCAATCTGAAAAGTATTTAACGGTATATTTGTAAGTAATACAATGCTTAAAATATTTAAACAAAAGTTGAGGTACATACCAACGGACTTTTATTAAAATCTGTGTGCTATCCAAATTAGATTATTGTGTCCTCCTTATGCGCCTATAAGAAATATTTTCTGTTGGTTTTTTTTTTCTATGATAAATTTTTTCGAAAACACAAAATTTCTTTTGTACGAGGTGCGTATTGCTCTCCTATCAATCAAAAAGAAGACTCTTGGATTTCTCGCTTAGGAGACATCACTTTTTAATCCTAAACGAGTAATAACGGAAAACAAAACCGACAAATCTCGCTTATTGCTCCCAAATCATGCATCAGGGAGTATTATTTCGTCGCTCGCTTAGGAGATCTCCTATTTGATTCCTAAACGAGTAATAAAGGAGTACAAAACCGACAAATCTCGCTTATTGCTCAGAAATCAGGTTAAGGAGAGTACTCTTTTATTCCTCTCATAGGGAGATCTCCCTTCAGGTTCTAGTGGGAAGGTTTATATCAAATATGTATGTGTTATTGCAACTTAAAATGTTTATTGAAATTCATTTGTAATCAACAATTTATATTGAGCTCGGGGCTGTTTTTTAAATGAAAATTTATTGTGGAAAAGCAACAGAAGTCTGATGAGGAAATGTGGTGATTTCCGAAATAGCTATCACTTCTACCATTTTTTTCAAATTATTGTTGCTTTTCCACAATAAATTTTCATTTAAAAAACGGCCTCAAGCTCAATATAAATGGTTGAATATAATTGTTATAAGGCCAAAAAAATAACAAAAACAAATAACTTAAGGACGAGCACACCTAAAAGTTAAACATTCTAAAAATAGAATTATTAGCAAAAACCAACAATACCAACAACCACATGATCAAGTGAATTGCAGCGGAATAGCTGCGCTTGATTGTGTTGGCATAACAAAAATGAAAATAGTGGAAAAAAGCAAACGATAATTTACAAGGCGTACTTAGCACGGTGCATAGGCAACTGGCTGAGTCAGTGGGATCGTCGGTTCGAATCCTACTGAAAGAAGTCTGATGAGGAAATGTGGTGATTTCCGAAATAGCTATCACTTCTACCATTTTTTCAAATTATTGTTGCTTTTCCACAATAAATTTTCATTTAAAAAACGGCCTCGAGCTCAATATAAATTGTTGAATATAATTGTTATAAGGCCAGAAAAATAACAAAAACAATCATTTGTAATGCTAAATAATATAAATTTATGCATTCGCGTAAACGGTAAATGGATAAGCCCTTCTAGATGTCATGCAAGAAAGCACTTTTTTCAGCCCTTCTTAGGTAGGCCTCTTAGAATGGCGTTACTTAAAAAGGTCTACCTAAATTATCTTCTGGGTTGGTATGAATTCGATCAGATAGAAATTAGGATAATTGTGCTAACTAGTCGAAAGAACTTATGTTATCATGATTTAAAAAGGACGTATCTCCCGAGAAAGAAATCCTCCAATAATTAACTCTCAGGGAGTAGCATTTTCCCAGAAAATTTGGGAGGAGAAAATTCGAACTTCGCAAGAGGTGTTTAACACTTTTTTGACAACTCAACTAAGCCATTTAATATAAAAAATCCTCAGGGAATTTGTATTCATAATAGGAGGAAAGGGAAAAGGAGAAAACTCCCAGGGAGTTTCTGTTCAGAATCGGCCTGCTTATATACAAAAACTATTATTTGCACTGAGTTAGGTGTAAATGCAAACATGTAACGAAAAAGCGACACAATCATTTTCTAATTCCATACTCCAGTGATATGAAAACGCGACAGAGGAAGGGAGGGATTGGTGACGTGATTTAGTTGGTTTTTAAGATAAGATAAAAAGTACTAATTTCGTTAAGATATCTCAATTTTTACTCGGATTATCGTGCGCACAGACGGACGGACGGACAGACAGTCACCGCTTAATCGATTTCTCTTTTTAACCGACCTCAAAAAAAAGGAGGAGGTTATCATTCTGAGCATTTATGTAAAAAATTGTCTATGCATATCTAACTCTATTCCTTTAGTCTGTTACAAACACCCGTTATTTGAACAAAGTTATAATACCCTTGTGCACTAGTGCGCTCGGGTATACTAAGAGGCACCATATTTTCGAAATTCTTCAATTCTGAGGGGGTGGCTGGTAACAAATTTTTTTGTTGGACCACCCTAATGCACATATGTACAACAGGAAATCTAATAACAATAAAGTACAAGCCTATGCCATTTGAATATTTTGCATAAATACATAAGTAGCTGCAATATTTAAAAAAAAAAAATGAAATTGGTATTTTCTATGTGTATTGACAAGCGCGAAACTAACTAACGCCTCACTGCCACCCAAAAGAAATGGCATAAAAATGGGAATTGGCATACGATGTGAAGTTAGTGAAGCGTGTTATGGTTTCCTTACATGTTAAACGCAAACCAGGTAAATAATATGCAGTAAGTGAAGAAAACCAAACCATTAAAAAAAAAGGAAAGCAAACTTCGAAAACAACCTAAAAGAGGTGTATGTACATACATACATATGTATGTATGTAACTTGGAAGGGCCCAAAAACTTGTGGAAAATCACCTCACTCGGTACGAATGTCTGTGAATACACTCGCAAACAAACTTTTCGCTTAAGTCATATGTATGTATGTATGTATGTACATAAAAAAATTATGTAATTTGAGCAGCTATAAAAATGTTGATCTTCAAATCTCGTGTTTGTAAATTTGTGCTGCCCCGTTAATAACTAGTAGCAACCTTGAAGTTTACACAACGAAGAAAATGTTTGGAAAAATGTTTGTGCGCTGTCTAAATACCATAAAAAATTTTGCATTTAATTCATTGATCAATATGTGTGCAACATTTTTAACATTACAACTCGCCGCAGTCAACTCCTTATGTGTCTGCAAGGTATGTATATCGTTGCTCAGATAATCGATTGCACTTCTGTCATACGATACGACGTTGCAATTACTTAACAATCGAGCTATTTGCAATTGCAATGCCGGCAACGGGCAATCAGCTGGTAAATTAAGCCAGTAATTTCGTTACTAATAGGTTATTGTGGTACAATTTTGAATTCGATTGTACATTACAGAGTCGGATTGGGAATTGAAGGGAGTCTAGGTGTCTGCTAAAAAAAAAATCAACTAATTAAATAAGGAAAGCACTCGGCCCTATTATGGTTGTCGTCGTCGACGGCGATGTCAATTGCTCGGCAAAAAATAGACCTCGCAAGTCCAACGCCAGGTGCGCTGACCAAAATAAAAATACAGCATTCTTTCCCATTGGTTTCCACGTGACTAAGAATTTATATTTCAATTAAAATTTTTTAAGGGAAAAAGAAAAAAAAAACATCTTTCTGATAATTTTGGAAAGCCAATTACTTTAAAAACAATATCTCAAATTTAAATTATTAAATGTATTAATTTAAATTTATTTAAATTTTATTATAACCAGTGACGGAAAGCAATCAGTAGGGCAATTCATCTAAATGCGTTAATGCCTCGTAACCATGTAAATCTCGTAAACTTGCTTAATTTGGTACGGAAAGCCGGTTTATTTACGGGGTTTACCCGGTTACGAGGCATTTACGCGTTTCCATGAATACCTATATTAATATTTTTTTTTTAATTTTAACCACGAAAATCAGTAAGTTCTTACCGTCGTAAAACAGTTTTAACTATACTGACGTATTTGTGTTCGTACGTCCCACTGTAATTTATAATGATTTTTATTTTTCGAGTTTAACCAATAAAGATCTTTAATCTTCTTTCGCTCAAAGAAAATTACTATTGCTCGATTTTTAATTTTTCGCTCAAAAATAATAATTATTTTATGATTTTTTATTTTTTCGCTCAAAGATAATGATTATTATTGAGTTTTATTTTTGCACTTAAGAGTATTGATTATTCAAAGAGTTCAAAAGCTATACCACCGTGATTTTCGACGTATCCTTTTCAGAGGTAGTAGCGACATCCTAATAAAAGGAATAAGTCCCAAAAATTTCTGGTCGAAAATTCAGTTGGTTACGTGTGCATGACCTTTTAAATTTTATAGTTAAATCATTTTTTGTAGGTGGAAAAATAAAATTCGATAGTGATTATTATCTCTAAGCGAAAAAATAAAAATCATAAAATTATCAGTATTTGTGATCGAAAAAATAAAAATCAATTAACAATTATTTTCGTTTCGTTCGATCTCTGGAAATGCCATTGGAAGCAGCAGCAGGAGTTTGAAAACCAGGAACTACGAATTTAGTCAGAGCTATCGACCATAGTTATACTATGCGTAGGTGCATACATATCTATGTATGTATGTACATATGTAGGTCGAAAAATTACCTCTTAAATTCACATATAAGCTTAGAAATTGCGTGTACTAAAAAGGTGAACTCATTCGACTGTTTATTCATTCATATATTTGGCCGCATTACAGACAAAATGTAGCCTACTTACATATGTGTGTATCTATGTATGTATATATATCGGTCAATGTTGCCTACTTACATATATGTGTATAACGGACGAGGGTGTTAAATGTTTTTAGATGGAAATTCCGCTTTTATTTTTATATAATTATGCTTATTGTTACATTATTATTTTCTTTCATTTTCCATTGTTGTTTGCGTGAAACATTGTTATAATTTTTGAATTAAATTTTAATTATGCAAAACATACATATGCATTAATAATTATGCATAATTTAATAACCGTTAAAACTCATGTGCGCAATTTGCGGCAAAATGTTACGTGTTTCGCCTATAAGGGCCCACATTCTACCTATTTATGTAAGTATGTATGAGATAAATGTTATTGAAAGCTCTTTTTTATTAATTGCATAGTTCAGTGAGCATTTGCTAAGTGCCAACAAAAACTAAGTTCCTCAGGCATCGAAATATTTGGCAAAAGTTAGAAAACTTAAATTTTTTCAAGCCAGGTTTTGGGACAGAGAAATTCTCAGCGCTCAGCTGCTCGTGATCCAATTCAACATCAACGGAATTATGAGAAGATACTAGCTATGAGAAATGCTCCCAGCTGCGTCCCCTAAACTGGTACACAGACGTCTAGAAACCACACTATGGCATTGAAACCAGCATCTTTGGACTTAGGTAGATCAAAGGTCTCAGTTCGTTTAAATCTGTCGGTTTAAATCTGTGTGCTTTGATCCCTTTTCAACGAACACATTTTAATGTAAACATAATCATCTTAAGTGGCACTCAGGGCTCTTCTTCCTAAGAATTAAAATCGAATCGGTTTTTGAGTGCATTGACGACAAACAGTAGGGTCTTCCTTTTATAGGTTCCGGCTCATAAAAGAAGAAACGGAAAAAAAACCTGAAGTAAGGAGTTGTTGAGCTATTTCCCGAGATAGGGCGCTTTCGATCCAGCTGCCGAGATAGATTGATCTTCCACTCAGAAGTTTCCTCTTTCAGAGACGAGAGCGCGTTCCGGGTTTGGTTTAGTTCTGCGCGGAAACAAAATGTAATGTATCAGCAAACGGGTACAAAAGTATTGAAAACAGTTCGAACGGGAACAAAATGAGAACAAAATGTTCGGGAACGTTCTCAGAAGAACAGAAAGAGATCGAAACTTTCGGCAACGCTTCGAGAGTAACGCTAACGTTTTCAACCTACCCTAACCTTAAGAATGAGAAATGGGTCTGCGATTTTTAATTGTAAACCAGAAGAATGATAGATCATTTCAACTTCCAGATCGGTTATCATTAGGGTGAACTGTCCATTTATGGAAAAATTATAAATTTTCTGTGCAAGAAAAGTTCGTGCCTTAAGTATTTCGTTGATTTAAAATTCGTACTGAAGTTCCATTCTACGTTCTCTGTCAGAACATTCGTGAGACTTTAGTTCCCAAATTGTTCTTCCAGAGAAGGTTCCTTAAACTTTCGTTCCCGTTTCCAGAACGTTTCGGTGAGTTTTCATGAGAGTTCCAATAGTTCAAAACTTTTTCGTCAGGTTCATACTTGAAATTTGCTTCATGTTAATACTAAGTTCCGAGGTCTTAAGACTTAGACCATTTCTCGAGAATTTATGTGCATATGTATGTATTTTTCTACACTTACGGGTACTTGATTACCTGGCTAGAATGCTTAACTATAGCTGCCGTTATAAACTAATCTAAACACGAATGGGAATCCAGACCTTTCTGTGCACCCGTGAATCCGCCACCGATGTGAAAATCCGCAAGAACGTATATACATACATTCACATCCAAAATGTTTGTATGTATGTACAAATGCAATTTGTGGCAAAAAATTTGCCACCGCAGACACAGTGACGCAATTTTCGACATTTTGACAAGCCGCTTAACGCCAGCCCAACGTCAGCGCAACACCACCCAACACACTGCAGCAAGCTAGTCATTCATTCATCAAGCGAAAATGTCGAACTAATGAAATGGAAAAGTTGCTCTCACTAAATAGGTGTATGTAGCTCACTGGCTCCGTACAAATGAGAAGTGTGGCATGGACTTCAATAGTCAAGGCGAACAATGTAGGGGAAGAGATTGTTTATATTTATTTACATCTTGCCACTTATAGTGAATCCGTAATGAGATATAATTCCATAATTTGTCTATTTTCGAAACTAAGTGAGTAGTATTTCGTTACAGAGTTTATAAAAGTAACTGGCGCAGAGCGTGCGCTGCTCAGTTGTAATGCGCGCATGCGCAGTAGCGGGTCGTGGAGTTTCAAAACAGTTAAGTGGCCGATTTAGCAGCTAATACTGCTATAAAATAGCAAATAAACACACGCAGGCATACATCTGTATGTATGTTAAAGTGTCTAAATGTTGCAAGCAACTAATAAAAGTTCATAGGGCAGATGGAAGGAAATGTTCGAATTAAATAAGTATTTCGGCAATGTCGGTTAAAAGTTGCATTAAAATCATTGAAGTGTGTAAAATGCTACAACAACAACAATTATAAGAAATTTTGTTTTACGTCATACGATAATAAAGAAAGCCAAACGATAACGAGGTGGCACCGCAAGCACCTTTCGCCTCGAAGTTAAATACATAAAAAAATTAAATTTAGATAATAAAATTAAAAAAAAAAATTATATAAAAACATAACACAGTGATGCTACGACATAAACGCGCTTCAACAGCGTTTCAAATGCTAATACTAACATACCTGGTGGAGCGTTTAGCTGCGGCCAATTGGCGCCAAGTGAAACCGATGCATCTGCTGCGCTTCGACGAATATTCTGGTGATCAAATGTTTATGAGCATGGAAGCGGAGCATGTGGAAGACGACTTGCCCTCCAGTGACATACAAGCAATGGATCGAATTTTTGGCGGTAGTGTTGCACAACGGCATGCCTTTCCCTATCAAGTGGGTTTATTGTTGCAACGACCGAAGGGTCTATACTGGTGTGGTGGCGCGTTGATCTCGGATGAGTATATTTTAACGGCGGCACATTGTGTTGACATGTGAGTACCTAGAAGTTGGGATACTATGATGCCTTACACTCCTTGCCAGAAACAAAGTTCAGTTTATTTTCCCAAGCTGGTCATAAACTTTGGTCTATTCCACCAATTGGTCACAACAAAAAGACAACTTTTTGCAGTAAATAAAAACGGTGGAAAATGTTCAAGGTATGATTTATCAAAAAGTGCGCGGAAAGATATTTTAATCTCAATCTTAGCTGCCTAAAAGAAAGTCATACAGTAGTAAGAATAAAATTTTTACGCTCACCGTGTGTGCCCCGATTAGACAATGATCTGTCAGAGGTCCCACCAAAAGCGAGAGGCGTGACTTTACAAAAAGGACCTTGCTACTACGCATGTCCTAGTTTTCGCCGAACATTCGCTGAGCTTAAATGAAGCCCAACTGCCCAACAGAGAAACAAAGGTAGTCCGTGCCGCTACATATGCTTTGGTCATTTTGATATCGTTCAAGGGTAGCCTTTCTCGTCAGCCATAAGTGAACTCAGCATCCTAATTTCCGCTTGGCTACCAGAGTAGCTCATTGAGTCCAGCAAACTTTGACCAAGTATGAACTAGTTCACTGCTCGCTTCAAACCCTACAGCCGCCTTGGCCCGCACAATCATCCCCTGAAGGGAATGTGTGTGGAGAAAAATTTGTCCGAAGCCACTACAGTAGCAACTGATGCCTTTCTTACTCAATCTTCAATGATAAATTTCCATGCAAGCTTCATATCTAAGGTCGGGCCCAAGTACTTGACACTATCAGCAAGCTGCAGGCAAACATCCACAATCGGTGGAAGATTTCCGTTGCGAATTTTGTGCTTCCTTCTTAATAACACCTGCTCTGTGTTACTAGAAGCCGCTGGCAGCTCTTTCCGACCTTCGGTATAAACGCCATCCTTACGAAGCTCTAAGCCCTTGCGATATACCCAATCCTCCCATAATTTGTGTACATAAAAACCATCCGACCACACGAGCCTTTCATAGTCCCTGGCAGCTTTGCAGGTATGAAGGCGTCCAGTCCTGGAGCCCATGGCAAGCGACGATTATTCAGCAAGTTAGGGAAGTTTGTGAAACTCTCGTACCTAGCTGCGATGGCGGCTGCTCTTGGAGAAGGATTACAAGGAAAATAGGCACTGCTAGTAGACCATATTCCTATTTCGCATCATCGATAGCTAAAAGAAGCTCAATAGTGCGTCTACATCTCGAGAATCCATGAACCCTTCTACCAATTCGCAGAAGATTCTCCATAAAATCCTCTTCGCTTTTTTTATTTCAGACGTGCGGTTACCCAATCCAGCTTTATAAAGTCCTCAGTCTATTAAAATGTTCTCAAATCAGAAAACTCCTTCAACCACCAGAGGAGCTTCTCTCAGCGCTAACGCAGTATGGCATTATTTTTTTTGTTTTAATAAAATATTAACAATTTAGGGATAGTTTCAATTAAATGCAGCTTACTAAAAATTCTGAATGAAGCCAAATATTTTAATAGCAACCATAAAATAGACCAAAGTCTATGAGTTGCCACGAAACACAGAAACTTTTTTTGTTGAGGCATCCCAGCTTACCAGTGTGTGTTGCTAATTTATCGATACATACATATGTATGTAATTATATGTCTTCTTGTAGGGCGAAGCGCGCTTTGGTATTTCTGGGTGCTCATGAGATTAAAAACGCCAATGAAGTAGGTCAGGTGCGCATTATGGTGAAGCGCAACAACTTCATTATATATCCAACGTGGAATCCTCGCCGACTCAAGAATGATATCGCTTTGGTGCGTTTACCCATACCAATTCATTTGAACGGTAAGTATATTTGTATTTAAAATGCATAAGAGATTGAAGGGCTTTCCAAAAGTTTTAGGTAATCATAAATTTTCTTTCAAATAAATATGTAGAAGTATTTGAACTCGTGGTGCAGTGCTTTAAGGCGGATTGATCGGTCTGGTTCTGAACGTTTCCTTTCATGTGGTTGTTGTTGTGTTTCTCTCTCCCTGTGAGAGAAAAGCAACTACAATCCCATCTAACCAGGAGTAGCCCAAAGGTTGCGACAGGAACTCCGTTCACCTCTATGCCCGGAGGGATGGTCTTATCAGCCATGCAGTTTCCTGAAATGTCATTGTGTCCTGGTACACAAATTAGCTTGATTAGGTAGTGATCTGAGCGATCGCGAAAGGGGTCAGGCAATCAGCGAAAAGTTTAAAACATATCATAAATAAACATAGTGCCTTGATTGCGACAAATTCATCAGAATAGATGTTTACCTATAATCGGTATGTAGTCAGTCGACTGCCTTTTTAATTGCGGTTTGCGGAGAATTTCTGACAGAACACACCTGCTCGAACTCTACCGCCTAAATTCGACACATAGTTGAAGGCATTGACCGGACTCACTACGAAAGGCTGGCACTCTTCCATTCACCCTTGCTTTTCACAGGAGGAAGCATCGAAAGCCTTAACCCCGTCAGTGTGGAACTTTAATAGCACTAAACCTCCTACCGTCCTGTACCGTATCACCGCCCGGTACTACTGTAAACTATTGCATAGGGAGGTGGTGTGAACACAGAGTTCAACGTCTGTTACTATCTTGTTTAGTCTTGTGAGTTAAAAGTTGCACCTTCTTAATCCCCTTGGAATGTAGATTGTACCTATGTACCCCACCCCTGATGGGTCAGCTAACCCCCACCCACCTTCCTTTATAGCGAACTTTGAGATTTCTAAACTAAACCAAATAACAGAACGACAATCACTGGACACTTTCTTTTCGTAGTGCTATAGAAATAATAGCTTTCTATCCCTTCTTGAGCGTTAGGACTTTCAAAGCGTTTCTGATATAGCTTTTAAAGTGAAGAGCTTTTAAAAACTAAACTGCTTGGGGAGCCCTGCATTCTTCGTTTGCAGAATTCTAAACTAATGCAACTTGAATGTATCTATGTATGTATCTAATGTTATTTTTATTTAACTTTTGCAGATCGCATACGCCCGATTCCGCTACCACGACGGAGCTATGAATATCGAGAATTTACAAATAAATTGGCTATCGCCTCGGGCTGGGGTCGTTACGCAGTGGGTGCACATGCCATTAGCAATGTGTTGCGTTATGTGAAACTACGCGTCGTTGACGGCTATACCTGCAAACGCAGTTATCCACTCTCCTATCGTAGTACGAATATTTGTACAAGTGGCAAATATGCGCGTTCCACTTGCAATGGCGATTCGGGTGGCCCTCTCGTTATACGTCGCAAACACACGAAAAAGCGTATACTCATCGGACTTACATCATTCGGTAGCATACATGGCTGTAATCTCGGTTATCCAGCTGCATTTACAAAAGTTGCTTCATATCTGGATTGGATTAGTGATGAGACGGGCATCGAACAGTGGGATGAATCATCAAATATGCTAGTGTTTAACAAAATAATAAAAGACTATGAAAAGAATCATAGCAAATATCAATATTTCAATGAGGATACAACAGAGGAGGCTGAAGATTGGGAAGATAGTACAGAGGAGATAACAGAATTCACGGCACCTCAAGAAAAACATTCTTTTCGGGTTGGACGTACGTCATATTCTTCAACATGGCCGTTACGGCAAAGAGTACGATATTCGCCACCAATTACTTATAGGAAATATATTTTTTTGTAGAACAAAAAAATACTTTGGATGTGTTTATAGTAAATAAATTTTAGTACGAATATAATTATTGTAAGTAAATCTATTTTTACACTTTTATGACTGGCGTTGTTTTGAGAATCGATTGAGCGTTACATAATTTGCGCTTAGCGCAGCTACGGATCAATTAAAAAGGTGGCAACCCTATTACAAAAACCTAACAAATGTTTCATCTAAATCCACCATTTCTGAACGAAGAGAGGTCCATAGTGCCCATTTTTCATTTCATCTAGTTTCAAATCACCCTATACCGCTTAAAAAAAAGTTGTACCTTACATTTGATATGTAATTTTTCAAATTCAAAATAACGGTGCAGCACTGATGATCTTTGTAAAACATGCCTTCGCTTATTATATATACAGTACCAGGTTGACCAAGCTTTGCATATACTTTTTAAAGTTTTCAAGGTTTGGGTATCTGGTCATACTGGCCATTTAGATAGCTTAAAAAAATATTTTGGAAATAAAAAAAATATTTGGATTTCGATATCTATTAAGTAAATTTCTTACCTTAAAATTTAGATGGCAACCCTACTTAGAAATACGTATCTTGAGCGTATATGCACTGTGTATACATACAAAAAAAAAAATGCTGATTGAAATTAACAAAATAAAAATTTTAATTATATAGCAGCGTGGCAACCCTGATCGAAAATAGTTTCGGCCCAAAGTTCTCAACAATACCTTTCATTTGATAACCATATTGCGAAGTTTAAAATAAATTGTGTATAATCAAAAATAAGTGGCAACCTTACACTATTATCTTAAGGGATAACACTTTGTATATAGGGAAGCATTGTTTAAGAACCTTCTCATGGTACCCATGAATAGTAATATTTAACCTTTTTTTCTAAACAAAAAATTAAATAAATATGCGATTCAAAATAAGTGGCAACCCTATTAATAGTATTTTTTAATTAGGTATTTTTAAAATACCTTCCATCTCGTAACCATATTATGAAGTTTTAATTAATTTGTAGCTACTTTCGAATAGGTGGCAACCTTATACGAGTCTTCTCGGATATAATACCCATTCAGATAACTTTGAAATGCAAAACATTATCTGTGTACAAAATTTCATCAAAATCGTTAGAGCCGTTTCCGAGAACCCTATATATATACAAGAATTGCTCACTTAATGTAATAAGTTATGCATGTACATATGCGTATACATATACTCTAAGTACATAGTTAGATAGATATTACTTTTCGAAAAGGTAGCAACCCTAAACACAATTATTTTCAAACTGAAGTTGTCTAAAACTATTTCGTTTGGCACTTGTGTATAAATTTAGCAAATTCGACTTTTAAACCAGGTGGCAACCATCTAAAAAACTAATTTTAAACTAAAATTTTCTTAAATCTCTTTCATCTGACATTGTGATATATACCTATTTCAATTAACTGGTGAATTAATTTGAATTTGATTTGTTTAAATCATGGCAACTCTCTTAAATAATGTTCAGAAAAAAAGCCTTTTTAAGCGCATTTCGATTGATGCCCATGTCTTAGTAAATTACACTGGTCTACAAGGGTTTTGCGAATAAGACGGGACCTGGTGTTTCCGAACGGATTTTTCGTGCTTAACACGAATCTGGGGTCCAAAACTTCCCATCACGTCACGTTTTCGAGAAAAAAGGGGTTGAAACCCCTAAAAACAGCGTTTTTGGCCATTTTTGAAAAATTGTAGAGCTGAACCCTGACGTGCTACAAACTTTGTATATGTCAGAAATTAAAGGCTAAATCGTGCCCTTTCGAATGAGCCCTATGCCGAATTAATCGCATGCACCCTTAGATCAGGGGGTGTATTTGTGTCTAGGAGTCCAATTTTTATATCCACCATATTCGACCCGTCATCTTAAATTTTTAAAATCTAACTGCAGATTCGTAATCAGCGACTTTTAATATAGTTAAAACCTTGGCATTATTAATTTTCTATGATCGTTTAAGATTAAATTCTTTCTGTGATCAATTTTTCCTGCACCCCTAAACACAAATACACCCCCTGCTTTAAGGGTGCACGCGATCAATTCGGCATAGGGCTCATTCGAAAGGGCACGGTTTAGCCTTTAATTTCTGATATATGCAAAATTTGTACCACGTCAGGGTTCAGCTCTATAATTTTTCGAAAATGGCCAAAAACGCTGTTTTTAGGGGTTTCAACCCCTTTTTTCTCGAAAACGTGACGTGATGGGACATTTTGGACCCCAGATTCGTGTTCAGCACGAAAAATCCGTTCAGAAACACCAGGTCCCGTCTTATTCGCAGAAAAAAAGTTGAAATTTGTAGACCAGTGTTATTTAACTTAATAAATAATTTGCATTTAGTATTTTAAGCCGGCTGGCAACATTCTTCAAAAACCTCAAAAATATGCTAAATGTTCAAACTAAAAATTTCTTAAAATCATTTGTTTGACACCTATACTTGAAGGTTTCATATCACTTGGGTATAATTGAATTAAATTTGAACATTCAAACCGGTGGTAACTCTCTTCAAAATTTTTTTCAAATAACTAACTCCAAAAACCTCTTTCGCCTAGCACCCATATTTCAATAACATATTTTCCTTAGTTTAAATTGAATTCGACTTTTTAAACAGGTGGCAACCCTTCAGCAAGTAGTTATTCAAGTTTTCATATTGTAATAATTCGTTTCACGTTTTGAATAATTTGAACCTAATTGTTTGAAGCTGGCAATTCTTTTCGAAAAAGGAAGCCCTTATAAACATTTCTTTAACACTTTTTATTCAATAATTTTTACGTTAGTAACGAACGAACAAAATTTTTAATTATTTAGTCCAGAAAGTCTTCCTTCTTCTTTTTATCGTTCGTCTGGATATGAAATGCGAACCAGCCCTGTGCGAAATGCATGTGGCCAGCTCGTATGAGGCCTTGATTTATGGCAGAAAGCGTGGAGACTTAGTCCGCTCGCTATAAAATTGAGCACAGTCTTGAGACCCATATGGTTAAAAATAGATCCAAAACAGCCACGGTTAATTGTCCCCCAAATTTTGACGACCCATCACACGAAACAACGGTTATGCAATGTCCGGACCTTCCATAGGAAATGCGCCTCTATCCATCTACTGGTTTGCTAAGAGAAGTACACACGAACGCGCCAAGCCAAGCTTGCCGCTACCTGTTTCCGCCCTTGGATATGAAAATGTCCATTATTAATGCAATATTTATAATCGTACTGTGAAACATTTTGATTAGACATATATTTTTAACTGTAAATATACCCAAGAGCTAGACATATGTACTCGTACGTACGTCATATCAATAAAATTCACTTAAAGCACTTAATCATTTCATAAATTTTGACAAGTAGCCGGAAAATGGCGAGTTTACAACCCATTTATGATCAACTGATTAAGCAAACATTTGTTCACCTGTCCCTGCAGAAAATACGGAGCTAGTCCCGCAAATGTTCTGTTGATAGTTAGCTCAGTAGTTTCGATTTTATTTACTTATAGAATGCAGTTTTCAAAGAAATCCGGTTTGTGGCGATAAACCTAGGAAAAGGTGAATCTACCTACACCTTCATTGTTAACTGCTTGGTAAATTTGTTAGTTGGCTACAAGGTAGATATGAAGAAACAGAATTCGGAAATCAATTTTTTTTCCTACAGGGGGGTGGGGGGTGTCGTTAAAGAAAGATTATGAGGATATTTCGCACAAATGTAGTTTTATAAACACATACGATTTGGGTAGACAGATATGTAAGTATGTACATTAGGGTGGGTTATTTTTTCTTAACTACTATGCGCGTATGGCATAGGAGGATCCTACGTGTAATTCTAAGCAAATTTGCCGCGGAGATCATGGG